CTTTAAGGTTGAACACAAAATTCGGGGAATTGATGTATTTTATATCAAAGTGACTGTCGAATGACGTATGTTACGAGGGCTTTCGTGAAAATGTAAAAAAGTCGTGATATAGACCTTAAATGTGTGTATAGACCTTAAATGTGTGTCCTGTCAGTGATATAGACCTTCAATGTGTGTCCTGTCATTGATATAGACCTTAAATGTGTGTCCTGTCGGTGATATAGACCTTCAATGTGTGTCCTGTCAGTGATATACACCTTAAATGTGTGTCCTGTCAGTGATATAGACCTTCAATGTGTGTCCTGTCATTGATATAGACCTTAAATGTGTGTCCTGTCGGTGATATAGACCTTAAATGTGTGCCCTGTCAGTGATATAGACCTTAAATGTGTGTCCTGTCGGTGATATAGACCTTCAATGTGTGTCCTGTCAGTGATATACACCTTAAATGTGTGTCCTGTCGGTGATATAGACCTTCAATGTGTGTCCTGTCAGTGATATAGACCTTAAATGAGTGTCCTGTCAGTGATATAGATATAAAATGTGTGTCCTGTCAGTGATAGACCTTAAATGTGTGTCCTGTCAGTGATATAGACCTTCAATGTGTGTCCTGTCAGTGATATAGACCTTAATTGTGTGTCCTGTCAGTGATATAGATATAAAATGTGTGTCCTGTCAGTGATATAGACCTTAAATGAGTGTCCTGTCAGTGATATAGATATAAAATGTGTGTCCTGTCAGTGATAGACCTTAAATGTGTGACCTGTCAGTGATATAGACCTTAAATGTGTGTCATGTCAGTGATATAGACCTTAAATGTGTGTCCTGCCAGTGATATAGACCTTAAATGTGTGTCCTGTCAGTGATATAGATATAAAATGTGTGTCCTGTCAGTGATATAGACCTTAAATGTGTGTCCTGTCAGTGATATAGACCTTAAATGTGTGCCCTGTCAGTGATATAGACCTTAAATGTGTGTTCTGTCAGTGATATAGACTTGAAATGAGTGTCCTGTCAGTGATATAGACCTTAAATGTGTGTCCTGTCAGTGATATAGATCTTAAATGTGTGTCCTGTTAGTGATATAGATCTTAAATATTAAACAAACTTGATTTAAAACACCGTTAGTTCGTGATACTGGCGTAAAAGTTGGAACGTATTGAAGCTGCCGTTTCAAGATTGTCGGGTCTGTAGATTGACTTTAAGGTTGGACACAAAATTCGGGGAATTGATGTATTTTATATCAAAGTGACTGTCGAATGACGTATGTTACAAGGGCTTTCGTGAAAATGTAAAAAGTCGTGATATAGACCTTAAATGTGTGTATAGACCTTAAATGTGTGTCCTGTCAGTGATATAGACCTTAAATGTGTGTCATGTCAGTGATATAGACCTTAAATGTGTGTCCTGTCGGTGATATAGACCTTAAATGTGCGTCCTGTCGGTGATATAGATCTTAAATGTGTGTCCTGTCAGTGATATAGATATTACATGTGTGTCCTGTCAGTGATATAGACCTTAAATGTGTGTCCTGTCAGTGATATAGACCTTAAATTTGTGCCCTGTCAGTGATATAGACCTTAAATGTGTGTCCAGTCAGTGATATAGACCTTAAATGTGTGCCCTGTCAGTGATATAGACCTTAAATGTGTGTCCTGACAGTGATATAGACCTTAAATGTGTGTTCTGTCAGTGATATAGACTTCAAATGAGTGTCCTGTCAGTGATATAAAACTTAAATGTGTGTCCTGTCAGTGATAGAGTCCTTAAATGTGTGTCCTGTCAGTGATATAGACCTTAAATGTGTGTCCTGTCAGTGATATAGACCTTAAATGTGTGCCCTGTCAGTGATATAGACCTTAAATGTGTGTCCTGACAGTGATATAGATCTTCAATGTGTGTCCTGTTAGTGATATAGATCTTAAATGTATGTCCTGTCAGTGATATAGACCTTAAATGTGTGTCCTGTCAGTGATAGATCTTAAATGTGTGTCCTGTCAGTGATATAGATCTTAAATCTGTGTCCTGTCAGTGATATAGATCTTAAATGTGTGTCCTGTCAGTGATATATATCTTAAATGTGTGTCCTGTCAGTGATAGACCCTAAATGTGTGTCCTGTCAGTGATATAGATCTTAAGTGTGTGTCCTGTCAGTGATATAGATCTTAAATGTGTGTACTGTCAGTGATATAGACCTTAAATGTGTGTCCTGACAGTGATATAGATCTTCAATGTGTGTCCTGTCAGTGATATAGATCTTAAATCTGTGTCCTGTAAGTGATATAGATCTTAAATGTGTGTCCTGTCAGTGATAATAGATCTTAAATGTGTGTCCTGTCAGTGATATATATCTTAAATGTGTGTCCTGTCAGTGATAGACCCTAAATGTGTGTCCTGTCAGTGATATATATCTTAAATGTGTGTCCTGTCAGTGATAGATCTTAAATGTGTGTCCTGTCGGTGATATAGACCTTAAATGTGTGTCCTATCAGTAATATAGACCTTAAATGTGTGTCCTGTCAGTGATAGATCTTAAATGGGTGTCCTGTCAGTGATATAGATCTTAAATCTGTGTCCTGTCGGTGATATAGATCTTAAATGTGTGTCCTGTCAGTGATAGATCTTAAATGTGTGTCCTGTCGGTGATATAGACCTTAAATGTGTGTCCTGTCAGAGATAGATCTTAAATGTGTGTCCTGTCAGTGATATATATCTTAAATGTGTGTCCTGTCAGTGATAGACCTTAAATGTGTGACCTGTCAGTGATATAGACCTTAAATGTGTGTCCTATCAGCGATATAGACCTTAAATGTGTGTCCTGTCAGTGATATGGACCTTAAATGTGTGTCCTATCAGTGATATAGATCTTAAATGTGTGTCCTGTCAGTGATAGACCTTGAATGTGTGACCTGTCAGTGATATAGACCTTAAATGTGTGCCCTATCAGTGATATAGACCTTAAATGTGTGTCCTATCAGTAATATAGACCTTAAATGTGTGTCCTGTCAGTGATAGATCTTAGATGTGTGTCCTGTCAGTGATATAGATCTTAAATCTGTGTCCTGTCAGTGATATAGATCTTAAATGTGTGTACTGTCAGTGATATAGACCTTAAATGTGTGTCCTATCAATGATATAGACCTTAAATGTGTGTCCTGTCAGTGGTATAGACCTTAAATGTGTGTCCTATCAGTGATATAGACCTTAAATGCGTGTCCTGTCAGTGATATAGACCTTAAATGTGTGCCCTATCAGTGATATAGACCTTAAATGTGTGTCCTATCAGTAATATAGACCTTAAATGTGTGTCCTGTCAGTGATAGATCTTAAATGTGTGTCCTGTCGGTGATATAGACCTTAAATGTGTGTCCTATCAGTAATATAGACCTTAAATGTGTGTCCTGTCAGTGATAGATCTTAGATGTGTGTCCTGTCAGTGATATAGATCTTAAATCTGTGTCCTGTCGGTGATATAGATCTTAAATGTGTGTCCTGTCAGTGATATATATCTTAAATGTGTGTCCTGTCAGTGATAGATCTTAGATGTGTGTCCTGTCAGTGATATAGACCTTAAATGTGTTTCCTATCAGTGATATAGACCTTAAATGTGTGTCCTGTCTGTGATATAGACCTTAAATGTGTGTCCTATCAGTGATATAAACCTTAAATGTGTGTCCTGTCAGTGATAGAGTCCTTAAATGTGTGTCCTGTCAGTGATATAGACCTTAAATGTGCGTCCTATCAGTGATATAGACCTTAAATGTGTGTCCTATCAGTAATATAGACCTTAAATGTGTGTCCTGTCAGTGATAGATCTTAAATGGGTGTCCTGTCAGTGATATAGATCTTAAATGTGTGTAGTGTCAGTGATATAGACCTTAAATGTGTGTCCTGACAGTGATATAGATCTTAAATGTGTGTCCTGTCAGTGATAATAGATCTTAAATGTGTGTCCTGTCAGTGATATATATCTTAAATGTGTGTCCTGTCAGTGATAGATCTTAGATGTGTGTCCTGTCAGTGATATAGATCTTAAATCTGTGTCCTGTAAGTGATATAGATCTTAAATGTGTGTCCTGTCAGTGATAATAGATCTTAAATGTGTGTCCTGTCAGTGATATATATCTTAAATGTGTGTCCTGTCAGTGATAGATCTTAGATGTGTGTCCTGTCAGTGATATAGACCTTAAATGCGTGTCCTATCAGTGATATAGACCTTAAATGAGTGTCCTGTCAGTGATATAGACCTTAAATGTGTTTCCTATCAGTGATATAGACCTTAAATGTGTGTCCTATCAATGATATAGACCTTAAATGTGTGTCCTGTCAGTGAGAGACCTTAAATGTGTGTCCTGTCAGTGATATAGATCTTAAATGTGTGTCTTGTCAGTGATATACCTTAAATGTGTGTCCTGTCAGTGATATAGACCTTAAATGTGTGTCCTGTCAGTGATATAGATCTTAAATGTGTGTCCTGTCAGTGATATAGATCTTAAATGTGTCTCTTGTCAGTGATATACCTTAAATGTGTGTCCTGTCAGTGATATAGATCTTAAATGTGTGTACTGTCAGCGATAGACCTTAAATGTGTGTCCTGTCAGTGATATAGATCTTAAATGTGTGTCCTGTCAGTGATATAGATCTTAAATGTGTGTCCTGTCAGTGATATATCTTAAATGTGTGTCCTGTCAGTGATATACCTTAAATGTGTGTCCTGTCAGTGATATAGACTTGAAATGTGTGTCCTGTCAGTGATATAGACTTGAAACGTGTGTCCTTTCAGTGATGTAGATCTTAAATGTGTGTCCTGTCAGTTTGAATGCATAACTTATATTAAATGTTTGAAAGCAAGCATGAAGATATGCGTTATATACAAGGAATGGAGCAACAAACGTCATACATTTGTTGGTTAACATTTAATAAAGTTATTGCAATTTATTAAATAAAAACACAACAACAAAACTGACATATTTTTATAATATATATATTATTATGCGTGAGCAATAATATATTCACAGAGTTGCATAATTCATGGTTACACTATCAACCATTGATATCATATTTTGCCGCTACAAAAGTATCATCAACCGAATATATTAACTTTGCATTGACGAATCAATTGATATGAAATGTCTCTATTTTCCTATTGGCGAGGGCTGGGTAGCAGTACTTCCTTGAATGCCGTGCTTGTTACATAGCTTAGTTCTACAACATTGGCCTTTCCGATTCGTACCGACCTGTCTGGTATCAACATATGTGTTACTAGCCCAGCCAAAAAATGTATCACAGACCTGCAAAAATTAACAAATACTTCATCAAAATTGCTATAGTTATTTATCATTAGTGCACATTTATTCTGTCACTTTTAAACGACTTTCCAGAGTCTATATTGATTTGCTTTGTTACTGAATAGTGTGTTATGTCTGTAATTAGCTGTAATAAGCCAATACTACAGGACACATTACCCTCACTATCATATATCTCTACCCAATGTTTATATAGCACAGGACACATTACCCTCACTGTCATATATCCCTATCCAATGTTTATATAGCACAGGACACATTACCCACACTATCATAGGTTCATTCCCATTTATCCAACCTTTTGAAAAATAGGTACTACAGGTAAAAAGTTGGGGTGGATAAGTGGGAATAGGGTATATTGTTAAACAACAAACACTAATTGGAGCTTGGGTCAAGTGTTGGGTTAAAAATATGATACAGAAATTAAGTCCTTTTGGAAATGTGTATCTATATTCAAAGTTATTTCTATTAAGTTGATTTATTGTTTCTGTAGTTATGATATATGCTTTCACAATAAGACTAATTTCTATTTTCAATATATTTATTCAATTAATATCAGACATATATATTATTAATAGACATATTAAGTATTAAATATACAAAAGAATACAAAATAATATTTATTCATAAATTGATATAAAGCACTAGAAATAAGATGATAGCAATATGAATAATTTTACATGATAGAAAAGTTACAATGTATAGTAAATTTCACATTTAAAATATTTGAATTAAGCAAAGCACTATACCAATCGAATATTATAGAGTCATATCAGTTCATTGAAGTTTCAGCAGGCGTGACACTGTGTCTGTATACTGGTAGATGTCGACTTCCCCTTGAATGAGTCGTTGTTTCTGTCGCTGAAGTCTGGAGTCTAGGATTCTGTATTTCAGCTTTCTTGTCTTTCTAGTGCCACCAGCTGCATACTGGATAAGTCGGATCTCATTTGCTGCTTGAGAGTGCTTGAGTTTTTCGATGATGACGTAGAGGTTTGGGGGAGCTCTGTGAAGTTGGTTGTTGAGTTTGTGGTGCCATCCTTCTAAATGGTTTGTTGTTCTGGGGCCAACTGTTGAGTAGTGGTTCCATTTTACTGTCTCCATCCCGATCCATTGCTCAGTAACGTAGTCGTTGAACATGGTGATCTTTGCGTCATCGGTCTCGTAGTCTTCAATTGCGTGGAACCATACATCATCTACTTGGTTGATGGGGACTAGTGGTAATGCTGAAGCTCGTCTTATATGTAGGTTGAGTAGGTTGTCGTTGGTGTACTGGTCTGCTAGTCCAAGTTTCTGTACCTTTCTCCATATGTGTTCGCAGTAGTGGAATAGACAACCTTTGATCGACGCTTGTGGAAAGACTGTCTCTGCTGCGTTACGGGCTGAAGACTCCAAGTCGAGGAATATAGTGGTTGGATTGAGTGATGTGTTGTTGTTTGCTGCTGCTGTCTTAACGATCTCAAATAGGCGTTGGTAGGTGATCTGGCATTTGTCAGGTAGGAAGGCGAATATTAGTGGGTACATCTCGTCGTCTATGAGTGCATGCAGGGTGTACAGCTGGGTGAAAAGTACAGGACTGGCGTAAAAAGTTCCATCCCCAAATATTGTGTCAGCGAATACCAGGATCTTGTTGTGGTCACCATCATCTGCTAGTAGAAATTGTGCTCCTGTAGTAGTCTCTTGCCATTCTCCCAGGAGATTAATGGCATCACGTGTGGTTGGTAGTGGTGGTAGTTCACTGTTGCGTTCTCGGTATATAGCTGATTTGGTACTGACGAAAGTTGGTATCTGTTCAACGACCAGGTGTGTGTGATCGTCCCATTCTCTGTTTCTGAATTTGATGATCTCGCTGTCGTACAATGCGGGTAGTGGTTCTAGAGTTTTGGCTGCCTTTTCTCTGATTGTTGCTAGAAATTTCTTGGCATCTATGTCAGCACGAGTTGGTGGGTGGGTGTGGTCTCTAGGAAATCTGGTTACCATGTTGTCTCTGGTGTTGGCTGTGCCTGGGGAATCTTTCTCAGCGCACTTCCAGTAGGCTAGTTCTGCATCTCTACCCTGTTTTCTGGTATTTATCACATATCTGTAGCCGTTTACAGCTACGTAGTGGCCTCTAGCGTGTCGAATGTAGTCTACTCTTACTTGTGCGTTTGCCATGGTCAAACTTGAATAATGAATTTTGTCAGTGGGTCAGTGCTTATAAGCTGAAAACTAGCTTGGGATGCTTAGTGAGTAGTATTCAAAATGTATGAATAAATTAGTAGAAAAAGGCTTGGGTGCTTCTTTAACACTGTTCAAAGCTTATTAACCGTAATTAATTAGATATATGCTCAAATCAGATTAATTGGGATTTTAAGTGAATACTACCGAAGTAATTATTTGATAATGATATATCAATTATTCATGCCAAAGTTAAAGATTGTCTTATTTCTAATTTTTATAAAATTACTTAATTGCTTTTTTCGATTCTATTCATGAATATTTTATACATACTTTCACCTTTCAAAATGTATTAAAATTACATAAATTTATCCACTCTATAATACTTTTCCCTTTATCCATGGAACAAATTGTCTTCGTAATTTCACCTGATGATTAAAATATACTACTAATTAAACATACCCACAGGGCATAAAACATAAAGTTGGATAAATGGGAATAGCTTTTTTCAGAAGTTGGATAAATGGGAATACACCCAATCATATATCCCTACCAAATGTTTATATAGCACAGGACACATTACCCTCACTATCATATATTCCTACCCAATGTTTATCAACTTCGATTTCAAGGAATGTAAAACTCACAATCTCATCGCGAGCACGAGGATAAAAATCGAGAGGCCATCCTACGTGCGCGAGATGAGGATAGTGTTCTCGCGACAAACCCTGAAATTACAGTGTGATAAACTGCTTTATATCTATATACTACTACCTTATATATTTTTTACCATTCAAAAAGTCGACTTTCCATATCTTTCATCCGACTTTTGCCTTAGGCTAATAATCATCGAGATTCACCGTTAAATAATAAAAGTTTTACGCGGAGGAATATCATAAATAGGTTTTCATAATTTTATACAAATTGTAATGATTTTTTTTATGATAAACTACTTTCTTACGCGGAACACTGTTGTGTGAATACTTTTCTGGATCATGACGTTTACTAGCGCGAGCAAACATTCTCTTTTGAGAAAAAAAAATCCCAAATTCCCAAATGTATTCCAAGTCGTTTCCGACTTGCTCTTAACTTCTTCCCGGCTATCAATCATGCTACTGGTTTAAGTGAATATATAAAATATGTAATATAGTGAAAGCTATGTATTTCCCAATTAACTCAAGTTAGATTTCGTTAGCTATATATTTCCCCATTAAGTCGCGAAAGGCATTAATCACGAAATCAAGAGAAACTTAACAATTACATATGCCTTACATAAGCCATACACGTCAAGTGAAACTCAAATCAAAATACACACACCATAAAAAATCTACAAAAACTCTGAAATCTGTGCCGAACATAACAATTCCAACCAATTCAACAAGCTTCTTTTGCCTGAAGAAATGTCTTTATTCATTTCAATGGAGCTTCATTGTAAATGTATGTCATTTATAACTTACCAATACCGGGTTGATATTATTTTGTCAAAAACAAAAACAAACGGTAAATACCTGTTCTGTGACACATCCCAACTTATAAATGATGTTGAAATTATTATCCAGCGATTCAACGGTGATACATTTCTGTCAAAGAAATACAGAATAAAATATTACAACAAGTACCCCATATCACCAATGAATCAGTCTTCATTTTTTTTCAAAAATTGGCTGTCTCTTATTTGCCTGGATTCTGAGTTGATAACAACTCACGAATAACTCGAAACGTGAAAGATTGACTCATAGCAGACTTGTTGTTTGTTTTCAGGCAGAATGTATGAATAACAACGACCTTGTCAAGGTTTTTTATTTCACCTTCAGATATATCGACGATGTGCTCTCTTTAAATAGAAAAAAACCCATATACACTAAGTCGATCAAATATACACTAAGTCGATCAAATATACACAAAGTCGATCAAATCGATCAAATATATACACTAAGTCGATCAAAATATACACTAAGTAGATCAAAATATACAATTAGTCGATCAAATATACACTAAGTCGATCAAAATATACACTAAGTCGTTCAAATATACACTTAGTCGATCAAATTTACACTAAGTCGATCAAATATACACCAAGTCGATCAAATATACACTAAGTCGATCAAATATACACTAAGTCGATCAAAATCGATCAAATATACACTAAGTCGATCAAATATTCACTAAGTCAATCAAATATACACTAAGTCGATCAAATCGATCAAATATACACTAAGTCGATCAAAATATACACTAAGTCGATTAAATATACACTAAGTCGATCAAAATATACACTTAGTCGATCAAATATTCACTAGGTCGATCAAATATACACTAAGTAGATCAAATATACACTAAGTCGATCAAAAAATACACTAAGTCGATCAAATATACACTAAGTCGATCAAATATACACTAAGTCGATCAAACCGATCAAATATACACTAAGTCGATCAAAATATACACTATGTCGATCAAATCGATCAAATATACACTAAGTCGATCAAATATACACTAAGTCGAACAAATCTACACTAAGTCGATCAAATCAATCGAATATACACTAAGTCGATCAAAATATATACTAAGTCGTTCAAATAGAGACTAAGTCGATCAAATCGATCAAATATATACACTTAGTCGATCAAATATACACCAAGTCGATCAAATATACACCAAGTCGATCAAATCGATCAAATATATACACTTAGTCGATCAAATATACACTAAGTCGATCAAATCATTCAAATATACACTAAGTCGATCAAAATATACACTTAGTCGATCAAATATACACTATGTCGATCAATTCGATCAAATATTCACTAAGTCGATCAAAATATACACTTAGTCGATCAAATATACGCTAAGTCGATCAAAAAATACACTTAGTCGATCAAATATACACTAAGGCGATCAAATCGATCAAATATACACTAAGTCGATCAAAATATACACTAAGTCGATCAAATCGATCAAATATTCACTAAGTCGATCAAAATATATAATAAGTCGATCAAAAATACACTTAGTCGATCAAATCGATCAAATATACACTAAGTCAATCAAATCGGTCAAATATACACTCGGTCGAATAAAATATACACTAAGTCGATCAAATATACACTAAGTCGATCAAATCGATCAAATATTCACTAAGTCGATCAAAATATACCCTAAGTCGATCAAAATATACACTAAGTCGATCAAATATACACTAAGTCGATCATATAAACACTAAGTCGATCAAATCGATCAAATATACACTCATGAACTTGAAATCACGGACGCTGCGGAATCAGTAGATTTACCTCAGTCGTTTGATAACATAGCCACAAAGGACGGCACTCTACGAAGCTGATTAAAATTAAAAAAAAATAAGTATTTTGATTTCTTCCATCTAGACTGTTAACTAAATCGATTCTCATTTTGATGACGTAGCTTTTGCTGGAACTTACATGGTGTGTACCATCGATTTAGCTGAAGAGTCATCTTTTTTAGTTTAAATTTTAGTTTGAGACTGTAGCCATTAAGTATAAAATAAACAGAAATGAACAAAACAATGTTCTTAAAAGAAAAGTTGTGCATAGTAATCTTAAAAAATATATCAATAGTTAGTGACAGTCATTTCTCATATTATTTACCTCGTGGGCTTTACATGTTTTTATTGTAGGACAGGCATCTGGACTTGATACTGCGTTACAATCATAACACGTTACTACAAAGCAAAACAAATTTCTTAGTGGGTTTGTTTAAAAATCAAGAGAGAAGTGTTAATAAAACAACAGTTAACGTTGAATAATTATGATACACGCCTGACAGTATGCGTCACGTGATTTAGTATAGTATAGCACCAATATTCATCAGTATGGTTTAAAACTGTTAACTTCATTAAGTCTGAAACTATAGCCTATTATAAGCATACTTTGTACTTCCAAAAGCTTGATTGTAATACGTATTTGATTAAATATCAGCAATATTGAAATGTGTTACTAACACTACAGTTTACAGATATTGGTATGCTTGGTTTGCCCTGTAACGAACGCAATGGATGAGAATGTAACACCCCCGTGTAGGTCTGAATATACATGTTTGTCCCTGTAACTAATGCCGAGAGAACTACACTCAGTTTTTAGTTATGCAAAGTAACACTTTATATCATCTAAACAAATCTCACAGCATGTTCCACATGTCTCGGGGCAGATCGTATCAGCCACACATCTCCGCTGGCACAGCAAAGGATCACTTAGCTCTAGCAACACACAGGCGCCGTTATCCACGTTTAGCGGTGAGCAGGTTCCGTTAAGGCCATTCAATGTGTTATCAATCACCGACGTCACAGTGGATATCTGTCCTAAAACAAAGGGTTTTACAATAAACGTAATATCAGTATTTTTACAAGTGAAACTAATAAAAAGAGAACCCTTTGAACTGTTTCGTTTTCAATTTTCTTAACATATTGTTTATTTGAAGACTATAATGTTTTTCTTGTTGGTTCTTATTAGCCTCCGCTCATGTTAATATTTATATACATGTGTATCAATTTTTATAATTTATGTATGATCATTGCAGGACAATAACATATATTGACAAGCTGGTCCCTATCAATCTTAAAACGTAAATGTACATGATGAATTCTTAAATGTCAACTTTCGTTTCTTCTTGTAACTTAAATGGTAGCAAGAAAAAAGTTTTTTTGAAATATTGACCCATTCCATTAGAGATCGGGCCAACAGTAGTGAAACATTGAAAAAAGCTTATTTCGTAATTGTTTTGCAATAAGTAAATTATTTTGTATTCATATTGCCTATAAAGTGTGTATATCACTACTAAATTAACTAAGATTCGTCAGCTGTTGATGATTTTCATGAAGCTTAGAGAGCACAGAATTTCCATGAGATGAAAACAAGGGGCCACGTTTTACATATTTATATGGCAAAGCATTAATGCGGCACTAAACGGGGAAAACCCAGCGTTATCATACATTTTGTTTTGTTTTGTTTTGTTTAGTATTTTTAACGTCCTATCAACAGCTATGGTCATTTAAGGACGGCCTCCCCTGTGGATGCGTGTAGTGTATGCGTGTGTGTTTTGGGAGGCTGCGATATGTTCGTGTTTGTCTCCGTGTGATAGCGCGGACCTCACTAAAACATACTGCCAAAAACACCCAGCAGGACACCCCATCCGGTGACATTATACTGACAACGGCCGAACCAGTCGTCCCACTCCTAATTTGCTGAGCGTTAAGCAGGAGTAGAAACTACCATTTTTACAGACTCTGGTATGTCTGGGCCAGGGGACAAAACCCAAAGCCTTCCTCACACGGGCGAACGCTCAACTAAAGGCCAAAAGTGAGGCAATGTCAAGGGAGACATTAGGCAGAAGAAAGTTGTTTAGAAAGAAGAGAAAAGATAAGATCCCAAATATAGTCGCCTCTTACGATCATGCAACGGGGGAAGCAAGTACAGGTCTTACGCCCTACCTGCAGGTACACGCTATCATACTTTATTACTAAAGAAACAAGAGTACCGCGGGGCGGAACAATATACGCCCCTCGGATGCCATATAGTGTTATATACTTTCTTACATTGAAATAAGATCTGCATCATTCTAAGAGTGGTTAGCTGACATGCTATAAAAAATGTAGGACAAAAAAATCAAATACTGAAATAAACAAAGGGAAATAACTTTTGCAAAATTCGTCGAATCAAAATTCTTTTAAGGAAGACACAACTTCATATCATAATTATAATGTATATCAAGTTTCAAAGAGATCCGTTGAAAAATGTAGGAGGAGATTGCCGGACAAAAAATCCAAAACTGAAATAAACAAAAGGCAATAACTTTTGCAAAAAATTGTTGAATCAAAATTCTCTTTAAGGAAACAAAACAACATATTATGATTATTTAGCCTACTAAGTTTCAAAGAAATCCGTCAAAAAATGTAGGGGGAGATCTCCGAACAAAAAAATCAAATACTGAAATGAACAAAGGGCAATAACTTTTGCAAAAATTGTTGAATCAAAATTCTTTTAAGGGAGACACAACTTCATATCATGATTATAATGTATACCAAGTTTCAAAGAGATCGGTCGAAAAATGTAGGAGGAGATTGCCGGACAAAGAAAAGTTTACGCCGGACGGACGGACGGACAACCCCATACCATAATACTTACGTCAAATTTGACGGGCGTATAAAAATAGAAATTGTAACTATGCTAAACATCATAATTTGCCCATGAGATGTTTGTTCCAATCGTCCTTTGAAAACAGAATAATAAACTATACGTAGACTTTGGAGTGACCCTTGTTTGAATGAACAACTGTTCATTTTGTTGGTACATAGATACAACCCACGCAGGTCGTGGATTGAGAAAATGAATATACCTTATGTTATCAACTGTGTTGTACGAGGCAACCTATGTGGGAATGCCTTGCAGAATTGGCGAGTTGCTCTTCCTGTACCACAAAATCGACCAATATAAATCTGCTGCACAATATTTGAAACAAAAAGTTTTCTCTTTACTTCCAAACAATGTTTAGGTTTCCAAGCTGGGTAATCTCTCACGTTTTTCCAGTTGAAGTGTTGAATGTTGGCCAAATGGAGAAGGCTATGGGATTTGTCCTCATGCCGCACAAACCAAAGTCGTCAAAAAATGGTTATTTCTTGATAAAAGTTCAGCATTTCAGCACGATTGGACGCTAAACCTAATGCCACTAAAACCAAACTGATCAAAATACTAAGGAGAAGTACTTCTGGCTATTGCTTGCACAAGCAGGAAACAATATTTGTTACCTGTTTATTGTCAATTGTATGTCATGGCCTGAAGCATACATCGGATTCACACTCTCCAGTTGTCCTGTCTGTACCTTCTCGTTCACAATATAGATGCTAACGGGAGATGGTCTGCTTACAATTGCAATAACTAAGATGAACACTTCTTATTCAAGTATGCAATATTTCGTTCGGAAAGGGAAAAGTCTTTTGGACGACTGCCCTATTAAAGAGTTATATCTGTAATACCGATACAGTCGAACCACTATCTTAAACAAACTAAAATAAAGGAATAAAAAATATATTATGATCAAAATGTAAACTATTCTATTCTATTAGGAAACACTTTCTTTTTCATTTCTTTATTTCTGTAACACTCTGCCTTGTATCATTTTGGAGAGCGCTCCCTAAAACTTTTACGGCCGTCTACGATTAAGGTTACCTTAAATACAATCATATACTAGACGGTATTGTCAACGTTCACTGAGGAGTTTAAGTTAAATGATGTTGGCGTTTCGTTTTCTACATCATGCATTGAAATTATTATTTAAACTTTTATGGAATGTGAGGGAATGTTTATTGTTTCTGAAGTATTTTCTAAACTTAAAACTTAAAGATCTGTAAAGCGTTTATTGACGTGATGTTACCCGCTGAGCTGACCTACCAGGAGGATGTGTCAAATGAGGAACTACTGTAGAAGATTCTGTGTCATCACTATTGCAGTAGTCACTGTCACAACATTTTCCATGTAGACCGTAAGCCCGTTTCCTCCCTATCACTGGCCCTTGTGGCGCAGGGTATCCGTATAATGTCTCACATAGCTGATCGAAACAAAGGGTTTTGAATATAATAAAAAATGTAGTTTCTTTTCTAATTTTAAAGACATAAATAACAATATTTAGAATGTTATGTAAATAAAATGATTTAGAAGATACATTTTAATATTTCTAATTTTAAGATTTCTAATATTAATAACAATATTTACAAAACAATATTTCAAATATGGAAACATTTGACACGCCCAATGCACCTTAATAAATATTACTGAATCATTTGACAACAATTAATGCAAATTAGGATGCCATTAGATTCTTCCCACCTTCCTTTCAGCACATGTTGCTGTGTAGTATATCTGAAGGCTGTCGTCGAGTCTCTGGGTTTCCAGACATAACTGAAACAAGCAAAACAGTTGTTAACTGTTTAAGTGTAAAGTGCAAATGGTTTTGTCTTTTGATCAATAATTCTTGGTTTTTTTTGCAGCTAAGCTTAACCTGGAAATTAAATACTGATATATACACTGATAAAAACAATAATTTGTTATTCACGATAGAAACTACTTAAACAATTAGTGTATTTAGACCGTTCAACCTGTAGGTTATGTTGCAGTCCTTCTCACAAATCCATTAAATTTGATTTCTATATAGTTTAGATTGTTTAACAGGTGAAGGCTTGGTCCAATCCTTTCTTTGGGTTTTTAGTATTTTATATTGTCAAAGCACAAACTGATTTTCATAAGTCTTGCATCGTTTTCTATACCCGTAGTATCATTGTCCAAGGAAAAAAACAATTTGTAAAATATCTTTTTTTTTTGACTAGGAAATAAGCATATGATGTCGACAATGATAACGTACTTGAACAATGAATGTTGTGTAAAGAGGACTATTCTTGAATTTCTCAATAAAATAATGTTAGCCCCTAGTGAATACTTCTCGGTAGCTGAAGTAAAGTGGGATAGACTACACATACTCGGAAAACTTATCCTTTAAATACAATGACGCTATAATAATATATAAATCACATCACTAAAACATCATTCTTTCATTCGGAACAATTTACAGATGAAAGAGCTAAACTTTTTCTTAGCTTACATGTATTGTTTTAGTCCCCATCCTCGCATTTTCTCATCCTCGATATCAAGGGGTTTCAATTTCAACAAATTTTATTTCATTAGAAAAAGGATTGAACAACAGGCATAGCCTATATTAGTTCTCTCCTAAAGCTAACAATGAGTATATAAATATATATATATATATATGATATAGTATGTTGTTATTTGATTATTTTAAGTATGAAACACAAAATGTTTAAATATGAGATATGAGTTTGGAAGTAAGGACAATATTTAAGAGTTGTTATAATATAAAAAATAGTGTATTTACTATGTTTTCCAAAATGTATAATTTTTGAGAACCTCGAATCCAGCATCCATGGTAGGATTCCCTCCACGCATGGGATACAGACCAAAAATATCCACATTGGCTTATCAACCACTGGTCATCCACCCATGAGTTTTGGGGCCAGTCATGGATACTGCATTCTGATTTTCACAATTAAGATAATTAAGAAAGAAAGAATTTGGCAGATTTTGAAGTGTTGGTGGATTCAAATCAATATATATTTGTTATACATGCATTTTGTAGGGATTTGTTAATAAGTAGGTAAATCAAGGATTTTACATTCTCTTTAGAACATTTTATACTATATGAATGACAAAAATGAGTAAACAACAAGATGAACACTGAGGTTTGGAATTGGTCCATTATTATAAGATTGTTCTTACTTAGTAATTATTCTATCACATAAAACAACAGTATACAAAAATTATAATGAATGATACATAGCATACAAAACATACAAAATATATGCCTATCAGATCAAAAGGGGGAAAGGCGGCCATAGGAAAAGGAAAGGGTGATGCTGACACGCAATGTTTATTATGTAGAAGCACAGTCGTAAATGATGAAATATATAATGTATCATCAAAGGGTCGAACTAGACTGCTGGTCTCATCAACAAGGTGGCCTAAACGAGCCTTCAATTTTGTCATGACATATTATAGATGTGCAGAGAGCGTAAGTGTGCGTTAACCCTGGAGTATCGAGGATGGTTAGTCCATGAAAAGTAAAGAAAGCATACAGTTAGGGTAATACAGTTATACACGTTTGAAAGGGGGTAGTGACCTCGTTCATTGTCAACGGACTAACCAGTCCTGACTGACACCCATATCGAGCCGAACGTCAAGGACAGCAAGTACCAATCTGAGTATACCTCGGTCTGGGGTTACAATGGGTGTAGCTAATACATTTTGGTAGCATTCGTGATCCCAAGTAGAGGACTTCAAACAAAGTTCTAAGTTACATTGGGTTCTAACATTACTGGCGTCTTGCAACACGCAGTGGGTAGCAGTAGTTATAGTCCCCAGCTTGCAGGGGTGTAATAAATATGTAAAGCATAATCGTGTAACTAAAATTAAGACAGTTAACACATTTTTAGTTCATTGCACATTCATATTTTTTTCAATATCTAATAAAAACATGTGTTTGTGTAAAACAAATCATTGCCCAGTAATTTCATCGCCGAGCAATTTCAAACAATCAGAAGTTTGAACTTTTTGTAACGTTGCAAACTGTCTTTGGTATTTAAAGAGAGAGAAAGAAAGAAAATTGCCTGATTTAGACTCTATTTGATGACTATTGATACTGCGACGGTAGTATTATGGGCAGGTCCCATTGCACGTCACAGTACCTAGAACTGCACTACTAGTTTATTATTCTGTACAGTATAAAATGGTAATGTCTAGACAATTACCTCATCAGCAGCACATTCTTGTGTCGTCCTACACATTGCCAGTGATGATACATTATTACAATGGAAGCACCGCAACGCTGGGAAAAGGTAAAACACTAGTACAACAACAGAATTTCACTCCGGATAATATCATAAATTTATTATACATATAAAATGCACAAACCCACTTGTACAATAACAATATTTCGTTCAGGAAAGTATCATATACAGATATAATAGACAAACACACCAGTACCATAACAATATTTCACTGGGAAAGTATCATATAAAGATATAATAGACAAACACACTAGTACAATAACAATATTTCGCTCAGGAGAGTATCACATACAGATATAATAGACAAACACACTAGTACAATAACAAGATTTCACTGAGAAAGTATCATATACAGATATAATAGACAAACACACTAGTACAATAACAATCTTTCACTGGGAAAGTATCATATACAGTGTTTTTTATTGTTATTTTGTCTTCATTGATCATGCACTACATGTAGTATCTGTTTCCTGTTACACTCACCACGTGAAAAAAGAGTACATACAAACATTGTATTTATGTACATTATGTACATTGTCGGCATAGTTTGGCCCAACTGAAAGGTGATATCTTTTTTAATTAATGTACACTGTACTCCATCACGATAGGATATATCTTGTATAGAAATTTAATTGATCGTTTTTGGGTAAAGATGTACCGGCTGTCCATGAGTACAGGAAAATTGTATAACCGAGAAAGTGATATCCACAAACAACCCTGCTCGAACTAAATACAAAATTGTCATCGAATACCCGATTTTATTCTTGTTTCAGCTATCCTAGCCGTGTGTCATCCTTCTTTAAAAACATCGTAGAATGTTCATTGGTTTTATATAAGTCTGATATTTCTTATTTCTCTTCTCTGTTGGTTTTATATAAGTCTGATATTTCTTATTTCTCTTCTCTGTTGGTTTTATGTAAGTCCGATATTTCTTATTCTCTTCTCTGTTGGTTTTATGTAAGTCTGATATTTCTTATTTCTCTTCTCTGTTAGTTTTATGTAAGTCCGATATTTCTTATTTCTCTGTTGAATTGAGTCATGTCTAATGTATCCTTTTCATCAATACTTCATTGTACTGTGTTTATCATTGTCTTTTAAAAAATCAAAGCTGCCATTTTAATTAATATGACATAAAAAAACAAATCAAGAGACATTTCTAATTTCTGACAGTCATATCATTTCACTGATTGAGCAACTTGAAGCTCGATATAAAATATATGTAAACTATCGAATAGAAAGAATTTATATCGGAAATATTTGTAATTTATTTTCGGAGAAATAGCGCCAGCAAACTACAGCTGTCACTTTCAAGATGTTTTCGCTGTGGTCATTTTTTGTCAGTGAGCCGATGATTAAAAAAGTAGAACTGTAGCCGAGACATAAGCCAAGAGAAAGCTTGATAGAAACTTCAAAAGAATCTCCCTCTAATACTTTCTGAGAAATGATAACAAACATTAACAGTCAAATTCCAAGTTGGCCCCCTGACACCAATATTTTTTATGCACAACTATGGAGCAATATGCAACTACTTGTGAAATTTGAGAAAGAAGTTTCAAGACCTTTCTGAGAAACTGAGACGACAATCTTAACGGTCAAAAGCATAGATGGCCGCCGGACAGTCTCCCTGTCCTTTCGACCAGTCTCTAAATGATACATAAACAGCTAGAGACTAAGGAGAACCTATCAACAGAATGAGAAAAGTTCTCTTTAGGAAATTGGGAATATGTAATAGCATACTTAATTGTCAAAATACAAATAGTTCCTGAGAAATAGCGATAACAATCTTAAACTGTCAAAATACAAGATGTCTGCTTGGTAGCTCAATATCAAACTAAACAGTCATGAAAATGCAGCTGCAGAGAGATCTTTCTAATTATTGAAAGCATGTTAGGTATCGGCCTGAACGAAATAAGTTCATTCTCCCTCTTGCGGGTTTGATAAACCGTTCCCTAAATTTAACATTAAAAAATCTGCGTTTAGTCCGTTTTCTGGTTATTGGAAGTGTAACAGAGGTGATTATGTATTCAATGCCTCGCAAGGGGTTGAACCTGGGACCTCTGGCTTACTAAACTTACGCTCTAAGTGTTCAATTGAATACCCAAACATCATGATAGAGAAAAGCCCAAATCAGTAAATAGGTAGGGCACAATCAATATAATTTTTAAACATGGTAAACAATGTAACCTCAAAACAGACTTTTAAAAACCTTTAACAGCTGATGGTACTCACGACAGCGTCCACACGTGCGGCGACATATACTGACGTAACATTCTCTACTGCACATGTCTGGCACAATCTTGAGGAGGATCACACAGGAAATGTCGGCCAGGTCCTCACATAGTGGTACTGCTACACCATTCTGGGACAGTACACAACCTAGATGTACTGAACACCAACACAGTAAAACACTTTATAACGGACGCTCAGGGAAAACGAGGCATTAATTAAGTTGGAAAACCTCGAGGTTCACAGGTAATAAGTAACCTGTAGTAAAACACGTCTGTAAAGCATTAGTTCTATGCAGGGAATTGATAAAACAAATGTATAATGAACCCGCGCGGACTAAGACGTTCCGAGTTAAAGTAGACGTCAAATTTGTTGTTTATGAAATAATTTCCCTACTAGGGGTTAACAAGTTTTTGAATTCAAAATGATATTATTAGTTTCAGCAAGACTGATCTGTTTTGATTAGTGATAGTAGCTAAATCTTGGTTTTTAATCAGAACATTAAGATAAAATCGAACATGCCAATTATTATCATAAAACATTGTGTCAAACAAATACAATACTTACAAATAAAGACAAGAGGAACATACCCATCCAGGAAACGCATTGTATTTTTAAAACGCAGGGCGCCACTGATAAGGAACCTATGCTCGCATTATAATACAGACGGTAGAAATTGGCCAGTGAAACTTCACACGACTAGTAATATTTATACCGATATGGGTCACGGCCAAGTCTCTCCCTTTATCGTATACTGGACAAGATTGTGGATATATCCTTCCTATTGCCTTGTATACTGGACAAGATTTTGAATATATCCATCTCATTGCTTAGTATTCTGGACAAGATGTTGGATATATCCTTCCCATTGCCTAGTATAAACAAGATTTTGGATATATCCTTCCTATTGCCTTGTATACTAGACAAGATTTTGGATACATCCTTCCCATTCCCTAGTATACTAGACAAGATTTTGGATATATTCTTCCAATTCCCTAGTATACTAGACAAGATTTTGGATATATTCTTCCATTGTCTAGTATACTAGACAAGATTTTGGATACATCCTTCCCATTGCCTAGTATACTGGACAAGATTTTGGATATATCCTTCCATTGTCTAGTATACTAGACAAGATTTTGGATATATCCTTTCCATTGCCTAGTATACTTGACAAGATTTTGGATATATCCTTCCCATTGCCTGGTATACTTGACAAGATTTTGGATATATCCTTCCCATTGCCTGGTATACTTGACAAGATTTTGGATATATCCTTTCCATTGCCTAGTATACTTGACAAGATTTTGGATACATCCTTCCCATTCCCTAGTATACTAGACAAGATTTTCGATATATTCTTCCAATTCCCTAGTATACTAGACAAGATTTTGGATATATTCTTCCCATTGCCTAGTATACTGGACAAGATTTTGGATATATCCTTCCATTGTCTAGTATACTAGACTAGATTTTGGATATATCCTTCCCATTGCCTGGTATACTTGACAAGATTTTGGATATATCCTTCCCGTTGCCTAGTAAACTAGACAAGATTTTGGATATATCCTTCCCATTGCCTAGTATACTTGACAAGATTTTGGATATATCCTTCCCATTCCCTAGTATACTAGACAAGATTGTGGATATATTCTTCCCATTGCCAGGTATACTGGACAAGATTTTGGATATATCCTTCCCATTGCCTAGTATACTGGACAAGATTTTGGATATATCCTTCCAATTCCCTAGTATACTAGACAAGATTGTGGATATATTCTTCCCATTGCCTAGTATACTTGACAAGATTTTGATATATCCTTTCCATTGCCTAGTATACTTGACAAGATTTTGGATATATCCTTTTCATTGCCTAGTATAATTGACAAGATTTTGGATATATCCTTTCCATTGCCTAGTATACTTGACAAGATTTTGGATATACCCTTCCATTGTCTAGTATACTAGACAAGATTTTGGATATATCCTTCCAATTCCCTAGTATACTAGACAAGATTGTGGATATATTCTTCCCATTGCCTAGTATACTGGACAAGATTTTGGATATATCCTTTCCATTGCCTAGTATACTTGACAAGATTTTGGATATATCCTTTCCATTGCCTAGTATACTGGACAAGATTTTGGATATATCCTTTCCATTGCCTAGTATACTGGACAAGATTTTGGATATATCCTTCCCATTGCCTAGTATTCTTGACAAGATTTTGGATATATCCTTTCCGTTGCCTAGTATACTGGACAAGATTTTGGATATATCCTTCCCATTGCCTGGTATACTTGACAAGATTTTGGATATATCCTTTCCATTGTGTCGTGTTTGGGTTCTTTTACAGAAAATGACGAGTATCATATGTCTTGGTTCAGTGGGTAATTTATTTCCCCTGTATGTGGTACTGGGGATCCACTAGTATCTCTCTAAATTCTGGCAGGTATATATATTTATGGCGATGCTCTCTCTACGAGGAGCACACAGGAAGTGAATAGAAAAGAAAGGACAGAGAAGCAAATAAAATATTAACGCGGGATGTATCACGCAATGCGACAGGTGTCAGAGGTCAGTTTGTCACTGGTCAAACAGGTATACAACAACATTCACATTTACGTCACACTCTCATACATTCCATTCAAAACGAAAGTAACACACGAGACTAGGCGATTGCGGATGCGGAGCGCGGATTACGGTTTTAATTCAACGACACAACATGATACAAAGTAATACTATTTAGACTCAATATATTTTACTGAATCTTTAGGAATATAAAGAATTAAAATAGATAGACAAATCTAACAGGGTGCCACATACACCCCCTGTTTAGAACTATGTCGCCCCCCAACATAATGCGGGTTGCTACTAACGTACCTCTATAAAAAAAAAAACACGTTTATTTAATCTCAACATACATATCGACCCTGGCGTCAACAAATATTGAGAAGCTATTACAAGAAATATTAATTTAAAAGTATTGAAAAATAACATTATAATACAATAGCAATAATTTCTTTAAAAAACATAGTAAGCAAACATATAAATGTATAATATCACTGGCATAAGAAATAAAATCACATCTCCATCACCATATTGATGATTGCCGTCAATGATTGCCGTCGATGATTGTCAGTACTGGACGCAAGCAAATCCATCTTGGAGAAGTGATCTTAAATATTCTGCTTTCACCTTCCTTGGGTTAGTCACCAGATCCGTTGCCATGACGAAGTCCCCATATCTGCCGGCTTTCGTCTTGACCTATTGGACCGTCGTATTTCCGGCGACGAGGGGGTATCCACGTCCTGCACCTCCTCAACAACCGGGTGTTCCTCCTCGTTGGACTCTGTGCCCTCCGTAGAAGTTTCATCGGTGTGTCCTCCCATGGTCGACTGATGGTCTACAGGATCGCCTCCGTCGACATTCGATGGAACGTCGGGCGGATCCTGGAACTGGTGAGGTACCGACACCCACACTTCCCCTTCTCCCTCGCTATTATCGCTGGTCTCATCCTCCAACCTGTTGTCCACATATGGGTTCTGTGGAGCTGGAGGATGATTTCTGATCCGGGGCTTGGGTGTTGGCCTTGGCTTCGGTTTAGGTGGTGTTTTTAGTTTGTCTTTGTTTTCTTCTGGTAACGGGTCACGAAGCCCAATCGGTAGGAGTAAATTCCGGTGAAGTGTTCTTTTCCGACCTTCGCCATTTTCCTTCCTGACAACAAAAACTGGCATGGTTGAGTCTGACTGGTCGAGAATCAAGTACACATCTTCCTCCCATCGGTCGGCTAACTTGTGCTTTCCGTCGAAGGCAACTACCTTTACCAAGACTCTGTCTCCTACGGGTGTACAAGCTCATCGTACCCGTTTATCATATCCGGTCCGTTGTCTTTCTTGGGAATGAGTCGCTTTTATCAGGGCCGTGTTATACGCCTCTTGAAGTCTCCTCCTAAGATCTGTTACATACTTAGTGTTGGTAGCCTTTGAGACATCTTGGTCTTGTCGAATGTTGAAAGCCAAGTCTACTGGTAACCTCGGTTCACGACCGTACATTAAGTAGAATGGCGAGAACCCTGTGCTGGAATTCGCATGCACTAGTGCTGCGACATGGGACTTCCAGTCTAGCTTCTGGGCATGTTCCAAGGTTCCTAGCATGCTCACGAGTGTACGGTTGAACCGCTCACATTGTCCGTGTCCTTGAGGATGGTATGGAGTGGTTCTGGATTGCTGTATCCCGATCAACCTGTACAACTCCTTCATCAGGTTATTTTGGAAGTTTGCTCCCTGATCGGTGTGGATTCTCTTTGGCATTCCGTAGTGAACAATAAAGTTATTCAGTAATGCATCAGCGGGTGTCTTGGACGTCTGGTTCTTGGTTGGAATGGCTACAGCATACAGCGTAAAATGATCTGTGATCACTAAGATGTTCTGTATGTTTCCTTTCGAAGGCTCCAATGTGAAGAAGTCCATGCAGACTAACTTCAATGGTTGTAATGTAGATACGGAAACTAACATCCATTGCAAAGTGGAAAAGGAGCTGCCTTACCCTAATGTATGCGCGTTCATACATGCCACGCGTACTTCAGTACTGACAGAGGACTTAGATGTTTCCCCAGCAGTTTTAGCTTGTAAATATCAACAGAATATATCCAAACTCTTGTTCAGTATCCTAGGCAATAGGAAGGATATATCCACCCGAGAGAGTGGTATAATGATTGACTCATTTTCCTCCCGCCTCTTCGAAATCGGCATTTGGTTACCCGGACAGATCAAGCAAACACAGTGCTAGATACAGCAAAGTTTCTAGGTAACGTACACACAAACTTGGGCCATATTTTGGATGAGTAGAAAAAAGGATGTATACCGTATAGGTGTACCTTAGAATTAAATAGCCATGCATGACCCTCAGGGTATTGCTGTCTGCAGAAACCAAGTGAGCGTTATCTCCGGAGTATCGAGGAAATGAAATAGTACACATGTAGATCTGCAAAATAGGATTAATTATTTTAATTCTGTTTCTGTGTATTTATTTCAGAGTGGAAGTGTATGTATCCCCGAAACATGTGGTCGACAGCACAAGATCTCGTACAGAAAGCTTGGAAGGCTCGTTTCATTTATCTACAGCAAGTCTGATCGTCCGGGATGTTCATGCTCATAAGTGCTAAATGGAGAATCGTAAAAATAGTTTATATACGCTACCCGTTTTGTTGTAAAAGTAAACGGTAAAGTTCATGACAAACTAGAACACTGACAGGTCAGTAAGGGCCCCGTCTTGTGGCAATATATCCCCATAATCATCAAGAAGCAATCTGCCCATATACATGTAGTTGAGCTTGACGTTTGACAATTGGACTTCAAAACGAATCACAAGGAAGCAAAATATACATTTTACATGTACTTTGATGTGAGTCTTGTTTCCTTCCACCTCCATATATGCTGGGCTAACAGAAATGTAAATTCCGTTGCAATACTTATTTGTTAGCTTTGATTTCTTTTATTTCACCTTATTTACCTCCTCCATCAAGAGCCAGGGTCAAAGTCAGAGATCCACATTGTCTTTGACCTTTGGACCCAAAAGACCTTGACCATTAACCCAGTGACCCTGATCTTTGGTCAGTTGACTTATTCTTTAATTCCGACCAACTTTGCTTCTATATATCACAACAAAATGTTCATCAGTGAAAAATACAAAACTTGTCCTTGACCCTTTGGACACCGTAGCCTGGACCTAAGGTCAGTTGACTCTGTGTTCAGTTCTGAACAACATTGCTTCATAATGTCATAACAAAATTTTCATCAGGGAA